ACCTGAGTAGCCCGTGAGGTCCATGGCGCGCAGGTTGGACGCCCGGATGACGGTCACCGTGAGCCGCCCGGCCGTGGGCAGGTAACACAGAGAGAAGTTCACCTCGCCCAGGTCCGGCTTCTCCTGGGGAGACATGGACAGGTGAGGGACAGGTGAGAGAGGACAGGAGGGTCACATGACCATGACTAGTTAATTAAATGAGAAATTAAATTGTGAATTAAATTATGGGTTAATTAATAAACCAACTCATTAATTAAATCTCAAATGGAATTATAAATTCAATTCCCAATTAAATCAAATTCTAAATTAAATCCCAAATTAAAATCCCAAGTTAAATGCCCAAACAAATCAAATATTAAACCAAAAATTAAATCAGGAATTATATTATTTTAGATTTTTATTATGTTTATAATTAATTTTAGTATTATAAATAATAAACTTAAATCACATATTAAATTCTAAATTAAATATTTAAATAACAAATCACGTCACAAATTAAAGCTTCAATTAAATAATAAATCAAAAATTTAATAATAAATTAAACCTGAAATTAAATCCTAAATTAAATCCCGAATCAAATCCCCAATCAAGGTGCGAAACTAAATTAAAATGCAAATCAAAATGCAAATTAAACTACAACCTCCACTGCAAAATGAAATGCAAAGTAGATGCAAATGAGATGCAAACTGAGATACAAATGAGATTCAAAATAAATTAAGAAAATACATACTGGATGCAAAATAAATACAAATTAAAATGCAAATGAGATGCAAAATAAATATAAATCCTGTATTAACAAGATTCAAAATCAGATGCAAATGAGATGCAAATGAGATTCACAATAATACAGGTTAAATATGAAATAAACAAAAAATACAAATGAGATGCAAAATAAATACAAATGAGATGCAACACAAATAATATACAAATGAGATGCAACATAGATGCAACTCATATGCCAAATACATGCAAATCACACGTAAACGAGAGTCAAAATAAATGCAAATTGTGTTCAAATGAGATGACAAATAAATATTAACTATATGCAAAATAAATACAAATCAGATGCAAATTGAAAGGGGGAAAATTAAATAAATACAAATTATATGTCAAATAAATACAGATGATATGTAAATTGTATGCAGATGAGCCCATCCATTGAATAGCAGCCCCCGCCCCCTCACC